AGAAAGGAAAATGAGATGATTCCGGGAACCCAAGAGGAAAGCGAATTTTGGGAATGATGAGGGCAACAAATGTATAGGTGTGCTTTACACAATTGATCTATGTATTGTGATGAATTGTATGAGCCCCAATAAAATGATTTTTAAAAAAAGAGCTCCATTTGAGTTCCTTAAAAAAATGTTCAAGAATTGTGAAGACCTTTTAGAAATTATTCTAGCTAATTCATAAAAAAAAAAAAAATTACCTAGGTTTTCATCTCAGTGATTGAACCCATTGAATGAATACCCATTGAATGTATGTGTACAGGAATATGTGTATAGAACTTTATATTAAAATGCATATATATGTATGTACATGTGATGTAATATATAATACACAGTATCTATGTATTTGTGAAAATGTATAATAATCTTAATTGTAATCTGAAATAGCATTAAAATAATATTGATTTTATAATGGAAATAAATAAGGACAAAATTACAATTTTCCATTAAAAAAAAGGCAACAACAAAGATAAAGGTAATTCTAGAAAGAAATTTTAACTTGGTCCATTTTATTTCGAACCAGCAGCATGTGCTCCCAGCTCACAGTTCTTTGCATTCCCTTTTTACTCCTGTGGATAATGGTCTGGGCTTGATTTTGCTTGCTACGGACTTTAAATCTTCGTGAGGATTCCTTTTGGCTCCACCAAAAGAAAAGGAAAAAATTCACAGAATGGGAGATGGGGAGCAGGGAACAACACTATTGGCTATCTGAAAGTTAAGGAAGGGTGGGATAAAGAGAAGACTCGTAGTCAGACAAGCCAAGAGTCAGTGTTGAGTGACAGCCACATGGCTCTTAGCGGTCAGCAGCTGGAGAAAAAGGACACGAGCAGGGGGATCCATGCGCGTCTGGGATCTGGTGTTTCTTTGTTAAATGGTTTTGCACTGGGGCGCACAGGAGACAGATGTATCTCTGTGCCCGGTGTGGATTTATAGTGTGTGTGATGACTCCAATGTCTATTCTCAGGTGGGTTTGCAGAGTTCTCCCGGTGTTTCCCTGGCCTCTGTGAAGGAAAGTCCGCTCTAGTCCCTACCTGCATTTCTCAGCCCTGCCTTCCTGTCGCCAACATCGGACCAACCCGAATTCTCCCCAATCTTTACCTGGGCTGCCAGCGAGATGTCCTCAACAAGGTGGGTGCTTTGAAAGTATCCTTCTCTGCAGGGCTTGTGGGCAGCAGCTGGGGAAACTGTCGTTTCAAACACACCCCACCCCCAAAAGGAAGCACATGCTCCCCGTGTGACTCCACAGTTACCAGGGGCATCAGACTTCGGAGTGTTACTTGTTTGATGTTGTTGATGGCTCGCAGGAAACCTAAACTGTTACCACAGTTGCTTGGTCCTCCCAGGTCTTAGAGACATGGAGTAGGACAAGGTTTCTCCTAAGTTTGGCCTTGTTTGCTTCGGGTATTCATTGTTCTGCTGTAAAACGTGGTCACCAAGCAGCATGTATACTTCTCTAGGCTGCCACTCCCTGAGTGGTTATCTGTTTTAAAATGTGTTTATTTGGTGCCACTCACTAGAAGGAGCTCAGGCTGGGCCCAGAGGGAAGCAGAGACCTCGGGCTGCAGAAAGAGGGGAGAGTGTGGATTTCGCTGATGAGGACATGAGCCCATACTGAACAAGGTGTGCCCTGAAGGCTGGAGGACGCATTAGACGCAGGCACAGAACCAGTGGTCCAAGTGTGGCAGTGGTAGTAGAGCTAGGTGGTCTGACTCAGCAACTTCTGTGCTCTCAGTCAGAAGGCCTGTAGAGCAGCCCTCTAATTACCCAGAAAAGGGACGTTTCTCCCCAGACACCATTCAGGTGTGGGTGATGTACAAGTACTATTTTCTTGTATGAAGGGAAGTACCTTAACATTTTCTCGTTGATTAACTTCTTTCCTGGAAAAATTGGTCTGACTGAAAACTAAGCTTTCAGATGGGCTTTCTGTAGCACGTGGAAGCAAGGCTTTCCAAGAGCAAAACAG